ATCCACTTTCAACTTTCCTTTCTTCTCCTATTCTTCATCCCAATGGGCAGTCAAAAGACAACATCCAAAACCGGCGCACGAAAGTGCATGGTTAATGGTTCTTCAAACTGAACTGAAACTGAAACAGCAGGCGATGATTTACTGAATCAAAATACTTACTGAAATCCAGGTAGTAAACCTCTACGGTTTTACCCTCATCTATCTTTGCAGTAACATCCTCCAAAAGGCACAACAGGTTTGTTAAGCGACCAACGCCTAATTAATCTAAATAAACCAAACTACTTGTGATTCATTGATGCCCCGAACCCAATGAACGTGTCTCCAAAAGCGAGTTGTATTGCAGCATAGAGTGAAACATGTGCCTTTACCGACGTATTATTCTGCTGTGTTCCTCACTTTCTATTCCTGTCCTCATGCCTCTACCATCGGGCAGCATTTTTATTACAGACCTCCTCCTCGTATTTTCCACACTTTTGCCGGCCAATCCTTTCGAGACCAGCTTTACTATTACTTGCAGTTCTAGTGACATGTATTTTTCGATGCATCCTCCATCCTTCATAAATTCGTCTATGACCTTGTCCGATTTGTGTTCCTTTCAAACTGCGTTTTCGTTCTGATCCCCACCATTTTTTAATTAATATTATTGTCTACCTATGTACTTACACTGTTATTGTACGTATACTCGCTCTGAACATTTGATCATGCCTTGTACATGCCTCACGGGCTTCGTGAAATATACACCTATTATTATTATTAACGTTGCTTAACGAAACTAAAGAGTCGTCGAATGCGACCGAGCCTGACGCGCTTGAGAACGGGAACCTCGAGCTAGTAGCACAACCAGATTATAGCTGGTTTAACCAGAAGACTTGTGGTTGTGGACGTTTATTGAGGTACCGTGGCACAGAGACAGTACCGGTACTGGCTAACGAACGTTTGCGTTAAATCAAGAAAGGGAGCGAACAGACGAGCGCAAACCGAGCGCAAGAGGAAATTGAAAGTTCTACTAGCGGAAGGATACAGCATTTTTTAATCCTATATAACATACGTCACATGGCGTTGGTACTGAAGTAAAAATGTGAACGTACATTCAGATTGTAGAGAAAAAGTGATTTCCGGCAAATGTCTACAATTGTCCGGTATTTACCGTAAAATTGACCACGCTATAGCAGCCCCCCGCTAGAAAGTGTGAAACACTTTCGGGAACGGCAAGATAAAGGTGGTGCGGTGCTGAGGTGCATGATGTTCACAGAAGTTAGCGGAAGTTACGTAATGTTCGCGGTNNGTAGGGGCAGCATCGAGGACAGTAGGAAAATGGGGTAAAGTACTCAATGGCGAGTGAGACGCGTTGCCTTGATTGGGATCGAAACCGAATACCAGCGAGGATTGCGTTCTGGGTTGATCATTTGTCGTGCTTCTTTTGAGCCAAATTACATTCGTTGTTGACCAAGGTACCCGGTGTCACACGTGTTTGAAAAGACATACCGTTGGATCCGTGGATATACTACTGAGCCTTTGGCTGCATAGGCGAAACCAGAATTCGGGACGAATACGTTGGACCATGAATGCAGTAACCAGGGCTCGTATGTGGCTCGGCGAATATGAAAATGAAAAGAGAGGAACACGTGGTGTAGCAACCGCAGATAGATAAATGCGTACACTTTCAGTAACAAACAGCAACAAATATCGAGTATAACTCGTGATATTGGTCGATGCAATGGTATTGCTGTGCGATGTGCAATGTTTTAGGATCGAGGTTTACCTACGTCCAAAAACGTGCCGGCAAAACGATTCTGCGATCAGAACGTGAGACGGAAGTCTCGTTCAATGGTCGAGATAAAGTTGCATCTGGTTGACTTGGACATGAAACCGGGGTCACGTCCGAAGTCGTGACCGTTGCGCGAGGCTGCCGGCCTGAATGCGGAGCGAGTGCGTCATCTAAAACCGTGGCAAGAGGTGGTGGTTGCCTACTCAAATGTGAGAATGGAACCTCATGCGGAGTCGCGACAAGCTGTGGAGTCTGCCATCTAAGGCGTGAAGCTGGTGCTTCGTCTAAAGCTAATGTAGCGGGAGAATAACGTGCGCCTGAACGTGAGACTGGTGTCTCGATCAGAGGTTTGGAGGGATTAGCAGAAAATTTAGTGTTAGCGTGGAAAATGTTTTCATCAACATGTTCTGCTTTAAGAAGATCTATGCTAATCGTATCAACGCGGCCATGTCCCTCAACCTTGAAGGTCTTATCGTGACATGAAATGACACGAAATGGTCCTTCGTAAGGTTGTTGTACTGAATCAACTCGTAGGAATACATGCGAGCAGGATGACAATCGCTGTTGCATTCGTGTTTGCACCGGAGAGAGCGCCTTCATGAAGGTAGACAAACGTTGAAAGTATGTCGGTATAACTATGGTGACACTACTCCGCGGTGTAAAGAATTCCCCGGGCAGGTGCAACGTCGTGCCGAAGACAAGTTCAGCGGCAGAACATTGGATGTCTGCCTTGACACAAGTTTTAATTCCGAGCAGAACTCGAGGTAACGTTTCGTGCCAATTAGAATTCTCGTGCGTCCTTAAGGCAGCCTTAAGCTGGTGGTAAAACGCTCGACTAAACCATTAGATGCTGGATTGTAGGCTGTGGTTCGAATGCGTTCCGTACCCAGCATACGCGTTAATTAGGAGAAAAGGTCGGACTCAAATTGTTGTCCTCT